GAGGAACTCACAATCAGCCATGCTTCTACACTTGGAGCAGATTCCACCCAGATTAGGCACCATAATTTCCTGAAACAACCCAAGACTCTCGCTCAGTACAGTACTCACTTCAAGTGCATCAAACACCATCTTCGAACAGGCAAAGGATGAATTTATGGTGAATTTCTAATCAATAATGATCCAAATGAGATGTTAGTTAGACACTGGCTTAGTTAGTGCTTCTCCCTTCACCAGTTTGAAAGTTCGGTAACCCAGTTTTGCGGGCACCAACAAAATAATTATCTTCCAATATTTCAGAACATAGATGACTTTATTAGAAAGAGTATATGATCATAATCATCACAGAATGAGCATAACAACATAACAATGTAACCTAGAGCAAAATCAACAACGAAGAGAGCATCAATGCTCCTCTTCAATCACACTGAGATCAAGATTTTCACTTGTGTGGCGCTTTTGTGCTGAGAACCAATCATCATCGAGTATCAGCGATAAAGTGTCCACAGATGCACCGGGGAGTAAGCCCAATGGTACCGAATTCCACTCTTCGCCATCACACAATGTAAATCTGTTAGTTGAAGTTGTGCCAGAGCTGGACACATTCTCCCGGTCTGAAAATAATTGTTTTTCGGATTTCAACCAGAGAGTGAAGGGTTTCATTACCTTTTCTGATCAACCGTTGCAAATCCTCCAAAGTTCGAACGCTCATCGAGTCGTCAACGGCACATAACGATTCTGATAGTGTAATATCCATAATTCTTCGAACTTGGCGACGGCGTTTTTCGGATAAATTCGGCACTTTCGCCATAACCCTGAAGACAACCTCAAAAGGTCTCGAGAAAGAAATCCTTCAAAACTTACGCTTCAACAATAGGCGCGTCAAAGTGACCAGTTGCCGCTACCATTTTGTGCAAAATTCTTGACCAGTCAGATTGTGTAATCACGTCATTTTCAGCTGAAAAATCGAAATTGCAGCAATAAATAATATTCTACAAAACCTTTGATTCAGGAATGTATCAACTATGAGAATAAGTCCAAATTATCCAAATGACAACTGACTTTGAATACAAGGCTCCAAGAAGAACTTGGTCCATGCCACAAGCTGAAACTCAATTTGTGGAGCATTTTCGTTTGAGGATAAGCGGTTGAGCAACTGAAAAAAAAGTAAATTTTTGAGATTTTGTCATCAAGGCAAGCTTTCTATAAAAAAAATCTTTCAAGTAAAATTAGTTGTGATATATTCAATTTTTCAATGTGAATTTTTATTCTTTACATTTATACCTTCTAATTCGACCAAATAGGCGGCTGAAGGGCGGTTCGTGACCTAATTAAAGCTAGAGAATGATCAGAACCACGCGCACGAGGAAGATGCAGAGCCTAAGTCTCTCAC